AGTCTGTGATTATAGTTGGGCCCGTGCTGGTGGCTTCCTGCATGGACAATTCCCCACTGGGTACCAGACCCTGGAAGGATGAGCAGCAGGGGATACAGGAGGCTTTGCTCTGTTCTACCACAGCAGAAAGTCATCACAACCTGACCCCCCGCTCCAACCCCTGGCATCACTGTCACTGAAGAAATCAGAGGGCTGGGTGCTGCACCTGTTACTGCCCACTCCCAGGGCTGTACCTGTGAGGCATGGCATGCCCCACACAGCCTGTCCCTGGCAGGGTCCTGCCCAGCCACCTCCCTCCTCCCCTGTGCCAGGACCCAAACCCCAGCTCTGAGCTAAGAGCATCAGGGCCTGGGCAAGACAGCAGCCGCTGTGCCCATCCCTGTGTCCGCCACCAGGGGGAGCCCTGTGCTCACGGACAAGGTCCACCTCTTGCACAGTGCCAGACCCTGCCTGCTGCCGCTGGTGCTGGTGCTGCCAACACCCCTGCGGGTCCTCAGGGTGGTATGAAGCCCTCCAGAAATCAGAAGCAAAAAAAGGCAGGGGCCGGGCTTCTCCCTCCCCTGGGGAGCCACCGATAGCTTCTTCGACAGCCCCTCTGCCTCTCACCTGCCACTTTGAGAGTGCTCTGAGCCGTGTGGGTGATGGGGGAGGTCACTGCCACTGGGGGAGTCTTGCCCTTTTTCAGGGACCCTGGTGGGCCCAAGCTGACAGGCTTCTTCAGCTCGCCCCCCTTGGCTGGGACCTCGTCGCAGCTCTCCGAGCGCTCCCGCCGCCACTTGGAGGATCCGTGCTCCATCTTGAGGCTCCCGCTATCGTAGTCTAGCTTCTTGTGGCCCTTGTCGTCGGTGTCACCGTACCAGCCCAGCCCGCTCTCTGCCAGTGACCGCTTCTCTGAGTCCGTGCGCAGCTGTGGGGACACACAGGGTGACTGAATGCTCTCCCGCTTCCTCCCTGAGGAAGCTACGAGCCCCTGCCATGGTAGCCGGAGCCTGGGGAGGACACATGTGCCTGTCCCTCTAGCCCACGGGACTCTCCCTTGGCAGCATTGCCAGGGGATGGTGTAAAGGGCAGGGATGTCTGGTCTCAGTGCCCAGCATCAGCCTGACTTGCTGTGTGTCCTCGGGCAGGTACTGATCCGTACCGTGCCTCCTCTGTAATGTGGGAGGAGGTGACGTATCCTAGATCACCCAGGAAGTCCTTGGCACAGCCAGGAACAGAACCCAAGTGCCTTAACCACCAACCTCCTGCACAACCTGGAGCCTGGACTGGACCAGTTACAGCACAGCTTTTTGCACACACGGGCTGGCTTGAGAGCTTCACTAGAGTGGCCCAGACTCCTCCTCAGCAGGTGGGATGCCAGAGGGTCTAGGCTGACCAGCACCTGGTGGGGAACAGCAGACGCTGGACGTCCCAGCCCCTGCTGCTCCCACACATGATGAGGCCCCCTCAGTCAGCTTGGTCCCACTCAGCTCATGCCAGCTCCCATACAACCAGCCCAATGCCCTCGCATCAGGCCATGGGCTACCCCTCCCAGGGCAGCCAGTGCTGCCTCCTTTGCAAGCCCTGAACAAGCCTGTGTGTGTGTGCATGTGGAGCAAGCACATACCGCTATGGCAGAGTTCCTCCGGGACCCTGTGGGGGTGGACGGGAGGGAGTTGAGTGAGGAGCTGGCATTGAACTCTTCCGAGCTAAGGTTGTCAGAGGCATCGCTGAGGCCGCTGCTGATGGAGCTGCTCTCATCCCAGCTGGAAGGAGAGGAGGAGAGGGAGTCAGACGTCAAGCAGTCAGGCCACACACAAAAACACAAACACAAACACACACACATGTACGCACCTGGCTGGGATCAGCACTGTAGACTCCCTCCCTCAAGGGCTCCCCCCGAGAGCATGCAATGATCTTGCAATTAATGGGCATTTCCCTTAGGAAGAGGATGAAATCCCAACTTGGGCCCTGGTCTGCAAATCACTCCAGCCCCTGACAGATCCTGCCTGGCTGGCATCCAATAGCATAGCCTAGGGAGGGTGAGTGGTATAATGGCCCTGGAAGCCCACTTGGAGGGGAAACCAGAGCGGCAGTTTCCCAGAGAGTCCACAGTACTGCAGTAGAAGCAGCCCTGTGCCACAAATAGGGCTGGGCAGCCCAATCCATGCCAGCAGCAGCCAGGCACTTTGAGTCCCAGGTGCAGGCAACACTGACTGCTTTTGTCCTTCAGCATCCCCCCTCCCTCCAGCATTTTGCTCAGGTCACAAAACATACTAGTTGCACTGCTGCTGGCAGCCAAGGGAACCTAGAGCCTAATTCTTGGGCCAGGCCAAATCTGGAGGCATGCCCTGCACCTCAGGTCCAGCTCTCCTAACAGAGCAGAGGAAGCAAAGAGCAGGCTGTTGGAGCTCACTGGCTGCACCTGGCTGGCCGATCCGAGGCCCGGAGCTGCCTGCTGCTTCTTAGGAAGAGCAGCCAACCCTCCATTGCTCTGCAAGTGCACATCCTCCCAGGGGGCCATGCACTCCAGCAGGAATCCGCCCCTTCCTGCGCAGGCCTCCGCGGTTTGGGGGTAGATGGGAGGGGGAGGGGGCATGTTCTTTGCAAGGTCTCACCTCTGCAGGCCTGAAGGGCTTTAAACCTGGCTGCAGCTCCAACAGGCCCTGGCTGGCAGGAGGATGCCTAAGCTCTGGGAGGTTCCCATGGGTCATGTAAGGGTTTGGGAGCCAGGGATGGATGGGTCACGTGGGGAGGAGCCCTGATGCCCCATCAGGGAGTCATGTTATAGCTATGGTTGGTCTGTTCCTTGCAGCAAAAGGGCCAAACCATTACTAAGCCTGTTAAAGGCCCAGCCTGCCTGCTTCCCTAGCAGTGGAGTCCCAGCTGGCCCAGATGATAAACCATCCCCACTCCAACACGGCCCTTGGCTCAGCCTTCTCATGGGAACAGCACAGGCCAGACACGGCCCGCTCCTCTTGCCCCGTCAATGGGGGCCCAATCCTGCTCCCACTGAGTCACTAATCAGATGGTTGTGGATTCAGTGGGAGCCTAGATAGGCCTGACGGCACCTGCTGTGTTGCCTGTGAGGAGATTCGGTTACAGCCACCCATCCCTGTCTGCCCCACATGGGCTTCAGTGGGGTCAGGAGCGTTCAGTAGGGTCCAGCGAGTGTCAGAGCCAGGGTGGATTGGCCAACCTCTCCTGCTGCCATCTCCTACCACTGGGGTGAGCAGCAGTCACATCCCAGTGCAGGAGGCAAGGATGAGCCTGCCTGCACAGGTGGTGGGAGCCAGGGGGTGGGAGAGGCAGACTGAGACCTGAGTATGGTATACTGGGAGTGGAAGGGGGGGCACAAGCAGGCCTGGGCCCATTGCTGCTCTGATCCTGCAGAGGAGGGCTACTTGGAGCATTGTGGGGCAGTGCTGAGCCCTGACCCCACTGGATCACAGGACTGGGCTCCAAACACACTCATCCAGAGGACAGCAACTGCTTGTCAGCAGCTCAAGGATTAGCACTGGTTGCTGCAGCCTTGGGCAACTGGGAAGGGGCTTTAGGCATATGAGGCCAAAGAGGCACTCAGGTCTCAAGCAGTGTGGGGCACAATGTGGGGCTTGGGTGCAAGCAGTGTGGGGCTTGGGTGCGTGAGAATAGATCCACTCTACTGGGGGTTCACGACAGCTGGGAGGCATCCCCCAGGCCCCGGGGGCTGGAACAGCATGCGGATCCCTGTGGTGGGGCCAGCAACTCTCTCTAGCAGCAATGAATCTAAGCATGCTGGGTCAAACACAGTGCGGGTGACGGTGTCAAACTGGAGTAACTCCTCTGACACCGTGCCACTTACCCGCTGACAGCAACACTACCCCTGAAAGAAGGAAAGAGGAAGGTGTCGGAGCAGGATTTCAGTGCAGACTTCATATTTCAGACTATGGGTTCCTCCCTCCCCACCCCGCACACACTGGCTGGATGGAGCCAGGACAATTAGCCCTCACCTCCCTCTGCCCAGCAGGTTAGGTATGAGCTGCCCCCAGCTGGGGAGGACTTATGCCCCCTGGGGAAAGGAGCTGGCTCCAGCAGTGAGCCTGTCATTGCAGCCTAGCCATAGGCTCCCCCCACCCGGGAGTTCAGCTGCATGGCTGTTTGCATTGTGCAGAGCACACCCTTCCCAGAGCTGCACGAGTCCAAGAATCGCACAGAAGCCAACCACGGCCACAAAGCCAAGCAGTAACAATGCCCCAGCCAAAGTGCGTGGCCCCATCTGACATGGCACTCCTGGCTACATGGCCACAGCCAGGGCTGGACTAGAGGGGCACTGACAACCCCAGCTTTCCCCAGCTGATCTTAAAGCTCTTGACAGGCAGGATCCTCATTCCCATCCTACAGAAGGGCAAACCGGGGGTGGGGGGGAGGGCGATTTGTCCCAGCTGACCCACTGGGCCTGAACTAAGGCCAGGGGCAGAACCAGGTCTGCTGACACCCAGTCTAGTGAGCTGTCCATTAGCCACATTGCCCTTCTCACTGGAATTGGACCCAGGAGTCCTAGCTACCAGTGCACTAGGTCATACTACCCTTAGGTCTCCTCATAAGACCAAAGGGAGGGGAATGGTTACCAGTGACCCCAACACTGCAGAAAGCTGTGCTTGCCTGTAGTTGGTTCTGAACCCTGCGGTAACACGGCAGAAACGAAGAGCCCAGTTGATGCATGAGTAGAGTGGGATGGCCAAGCAGCTCAGCCCCCAACCCTGAGCCCTTGCAACCCTTGCCTCTGTGGAGCTAAATCCTGCAGCAAGGCCCCTATCTGCAGTGCATTGCACGTGGGGTAGTTGCCCGTCCGTACGAAACAGTGCCCCCTGGTCCACTGAGGTACTCAGGTTCTGCTCTGGTGCTTCAGAAGGAGTCCAGTTTCCCCAGGATGGCTACAGGAGGAGCTGGAAAACTAGCCGGAAGCACTGCTCCCCTTGACCCCCTGGCTCCAGGACAGCACAAGATCTGGGCCATTAGGAACTGGGCCTGGACCACAGCGGGGCTTAGCAAGTGGCGAGGCAGGCAACATGTGCACGACAGAGCCTCTGGGGCTGGACGCTTCCAGCATGGGCTGCTTGATTCCCAGGCCTGCTCAGAACGGTGGGAGGAAGCCCATCTCAGCTGACCCCGGCCATGCCTGAGCTGGGTGGAGGGGAGAGGAGCCTCCACAACAAGAGGGCGTCTTCCCCTGCAGCTGCCCACTCCCTGGGGGTCCTTGTTCCCCCCTCATGGCCACCCTGTGTGCACAGGCCTGACCACAACCCAATGTCCCTGTCTCTTTATCAGCCCCTCCCATAGCAGCCCTGCCCCACATTGGTTTGACCTCTACACTGAACCCTGCAAGCTCGGCCCTAGGGCCTCTTCTGGCAGTGCCCGTACTCCCACCCCCACTGTGTGGAGGATGCAGTGGGGGCACACGCTGCCCTGGGAACTCCCTCTGTCCCCGTTCTGACCATCAGCTTCTCTGAGGTCAGGCCCAACCCTGAGGCGCCCCAAGACAACAGGGGTTGTTGCTCACACCAGCAAGGGCTCAAGAGGCCAGGCTGCACCAGAGTGGCACTGAGGGGATTGGGAGGTGACCCCTTCTAGCAAGTCTGCCTGGGATGGCTGTGCTCACATGGAGCGTGCTGAGCTCATTTCCCGATGCAGAGGCTGACTGAACATGGGAACCACTGGGGAATTTCCTTTATGCCCAATTTTGCAACAGAGCAGGACTTTGCAGAGCCAGGGCAGGGCAGGGGCAGGCTGGAACACATAAGCCACCCCACCCAGCTCATCACCTGCTGCCCCGGCTCCCCGCTACACTCATACTCTTGCTGCAGCCCAGTGCTCTCCCCTGACTGCTGCTTGCCAGCTGCACTGTACTCTGCACATACAATGGCAGCACTGTTTGGGGCCTCCTGGCCTGTCACCCATGGACAACACTTAGTCTTCTCATCCTGTGCGGCTGCACTAGCTTAGACACCAGCATGAGCAGCCTCTCCTCAAACACGCATGTGTGAACACTTGCCTGGGCACATGTTTGCACATGGGAGATGAGCATATGCTGGTGGTGCATGGGGATCTTCAGCAATGAAAGGCTGAGGCACTGTCTTGCAGTATTCAAACATGCTGCACTGGAAGGGGCCCAGGCACCTTGCCCTCTCAGAGTCCCACAACTGGCATGTGGCTGAAGCTGTGTCTCACTGCTGCACAGAGGAGTCTGTGGATGGGGTCCCTCGCACAGCATCCTCTGGACTGCTTGCCAAAGCCCAGGCCTGGCCACTGATCAGCCCAGCAGGGCCTGAGCAGAGCAGTGAGCAGCAGCAGGGAGAAGATGACAGCATGCAAGGGTAGGGCAGAACAGCTACACTACAAGTACCTGCTTGTCTGGCCACTGATGCTCTGTGCTAGAGGCTGTCTGGCCAGTGGTGCTGAGCTCATGGGGCACCGAGCTCTGCAGAATCCAACCAGCTGTGGCCTGTGGGTGGCCATGCTCCTTGGATGTGCAGCTCCAAGTAGGAAAGGCCTGTAAAAGTGTCCCTGACCCTGAAGTTTCCCCCAGCCTCAAATGCTGACTGGCCTGGAAGACCTTCTGCATGCCAGCTGGCTCCCCTGAATGTAGGTCTTAAGCCCACCTGCTTCTGCAGAGCAGCCATGAGGCCTGAGGGAGCTCTGACTCTACCTGGGCTGTATGTGGCTGGAAGCCACATCCAACCCAGTGCTCTATCCCTGCTTGGCAGCTCCCTCCTGAGGGCCAGGC